GGGGGACAGAGTTTTGCCCTTGTTGCCCAGGCTGGAGTGCAATGGCATGATCTCGGCTCACAGAAACTTTCACCTCTTGGGTTCAAGTGATTATCCTGCCTCAACCTCCTGAGTAGCTGGGATTACAAGCATGCGCCACCACGCCTGGCTAATTTTGTATTTTTAGTAGAGATGGGGTTTCTCCATGCTGGTTAGGCTGGTCTTGAACCCCTGACCTCAGGTGATCTGCCCACCTTGGCCTTCCAAAGCACTGAGATTACAGGCGTGAGCCACTGCACCCAGCCCCTGGTTTTCACATTTGGTACAGTGTTCAATAAATTACATGAAATATTTGACACATTATTTTAAAATCGGCTTTCTGTTAGATAATGTTGCCCAACTTAGGCTGATAGAAACCTTCTGAGCACATTTAAGTCAGGCCAGGCTAAGCTATGATGTTCACCAGGGTAGGGGGATCAAGTGCATCTTCCACGTACAAGATTTCTAACTTACTATGGGCTTATAGGGATGTGACTCCATTTTTTTTCTTCCTAGAAAAAAAAAAAGAAAGAAAGAAAGAAAAAAAAAAAAAGAATGAAGGAGAGGAAGAAAGAGGAAGAGGGAGAGAGAACGGGGGTGTTGCTTTACTGCCTGGGCCAGATTGCAGTGTAAAAATGGGTATGCCTATAATTGTGTTTAATAATAGAGACATGAAAAAAAAAAATGAGGGAAGAAAACAATAAACAAGCAGCCAACCAACATTTCATTGAAACCTGTAAATAGATGTGATGTGGTACTGATAAGAGTGTATATTTTGTGTATTTAAAGTGGAGAGTTCTATAAATGTTAACTAAGTTTACTTGTTCCGGATCTGAGTTCAAATCCTGGATATCGTTGCTAATTTTCTGTTTCATTGATCTGTCTAATATTGATGTTGAAGTCTCCCACTATTATTGTGTGGGAGTCTAAGTCTCTTTATAAGTCTTATATAACTGGGTATTCCTGTATTGGGTGCATATATATTTAGGATCTTTAGCTCTTCTTGTTGTATTGATCCTTTTATTATTATGTAATATCCTTCTTTGCTTCTTTTGATATTTGTTGCTTTAAAGCAACTCCTGCTTTTTATTTATTTATTTATTTTTGCTCTCCATTTGGTTGGTAAATCTTTTTCCATCCCTTCCTTTTGAGTCTTTGTGTATCCTTGCATGTGAGATGGGTCTGGATGTAGCATACTGATGGGTTTTGGCTTTTTTTGCCTGTCTATGTCTTTGGATTGGGGGATTTAGTCGATTTAAATTTAGAATTAATAATAATATATGTGAGTTTAATACGGCCATTTAATGTTAGCTGGCTGTTTTGCCCATTAGTTGATGTAAATTCTTGATTATGTTGATGCTCTTTACTTTTTGGTATTTTTTACAAAGGCTGATACTGGTTGTTCCTTTCTATGTGTAGTGGTTCTTTCAGAAGCTTTTGCAAAACAGGCCTGGTGGTGATGAAATCTCTGAGTGCTTGCTTGCTCACAAAAGATTTTATTTTTCCTTCACTTATGAAGCTTAGTTTGGCTGGATGTAAAATTCTGGGTTGAAAGTTCTTCTCTTTAAGGATGTTGAATATTGGCCCCCACTCTCTTCTGGCTTGTAGGGTTTCTGCTGAGAGATCTGCTGAGAGTCTGACAGGCTTCCCTTTATGGGTAACCTGACCTTTCTCTCTGGCTGCCCTCAGTATTTTCTCCTTCATTTCAACCCTGGTGAATCTGGCAATTATGTGCCTTGAGGTTGGTCTTCTTGAGGAATATCTTTGTGGTGTTCTCTGTATTACTTGGAGTTGAATATTGTCCTGCTTTGCTAGGTCGGGAAAGTTTTCCTGGATAATATCCTGCAGCGTACTTTCCAGCTTGGATTGATTCTCTTTGTCACATTCAGGTACACCTATCAAGCGTAGATTAGGTCTTTTTACATAGTCCCACATTTCTTGGAGACTTTGCTTGTTCCTTTTTATCCTTTTTTCTCTAATCTTGTCTTCTCGTTTTATTTCATTAAGTTGGTCTTCGACTTCTGATATCTTTTCTTCTGCTTGATCAATTCAGCTGTTAAAACTTGTGCATACTTTGTGAAGTTCTCTTGTTGTTTTTCAGCTCCATTAATTCGCTTATATTCCTCTCTAAATTGTGTATTCTTGTTAACATTAAAAGAACTTGTTCTAACCCAATGCAAAGAAACTAAGAACTTTGAAAAAAGTAATTTGTTTTGGTAGTCCTAGGAAACTAATTCAGATGGTATAGATATACCAATTTTGTTTATCCATTCATCAGTTGATGAACATTTGGATTGTTTCTACTTTTGGCTAATATAAATAATGCTACTATGGACATTCATGTACAACTAATTCACGTACATTTATTACATATTTGGAATTAATTTTGTAAAAGACATGAGGCTTAGGCTGAAGTTCATTTTCTACCTAAAGATATTCATCTACTTCACAACTATCTTCCTCCATTGAATTGATGTTGCACCTTTATCAAAAATTAGTTTGTCATATATATGTACTTATGTGGTGTGTCTAGGTTTTCTCTTCTGTTCTATTGGTCTATACCACAAAATCCAGAAATCAAGACTACACAGAAGTCTTGAAATCAAGGAGAGCAATTCTTATTTATTCTTCTTTTTCTGAATTGAACCATTCTACTTCCTTTGCCTTTCCACATACAATTTGGCATAATCTTATCTGTATTTACAAAACAATTTGCTTGATAAATCCTAAGGTTTTTAAAAACCAATTGTACTTGGATAACTCCCACATTTATATCTCCAAGACCAGGCTCCCTCAAGGTCCACACATGAATATCCAATTAACCACTTAACAGCTATACTTGGTTGTTTGGTTTTTGAATATGTTAATTTTGGGATGTTTATTAAATCTTCTTGTTTATCCACTGGTCTTCCCCCACCTCAATAAATGGAACAACTCCTTAGCCTGCTGCTCAAACCAAAAACCTTCTCTACAATAGACCTAGAGTGTCTTTAAATACACGCACACATCAGAACATGCCTTTCATTAGCTTAAAACATTTCACTGTTCAATTGCTTTGAGTAAAATCCAGATTCCCACTTAACACCCACAGGGACCTCTTATCACACATGCCTATTCTTATGAAGCTCTAGCCTCAGGCCTTCTTTCTGGTCCAAGCAGGACAAGAACTAAGGTAAGTTAAGTGAGGTGACCTAGGAGCAAAATTTGAGCCACTCACTGAATTTGCAGGACCCTGAGAGTACCTCCTTATACTTTGCTCCTTAGGGGCCTCACTTGCCCATTCTGGTCCTGAGTCCTGGCTTGTTTCTTGCTTTACGGCCCTGGTACTATTCATCTCCACTGCCAAGAAAGTTCTATTCTCTCATTCTTTATGGCTTGTCATTTAGGACTCTGTGCAGGTCTGACTACCCTATCTAAAATCCAACTCTTACATTGAGACAGACCTTACTCCAATCCTATTACTTCATTTAGTCCCCATAACAGTTACATTTAATGGGTACTATCATCACCTCCATTCTACAGACAAGTTAGCTGGTACCCAGATGGATGCTAAATAAATTGCCTAAGGGCACACAGCTACTTCTTGTAAGTGATTCTCCCAGGAAACACCACAGTGGTTTGATTCCAGAAACTGAGCACACTTGTTTCTTTCAAGGCACTTACAATCTGCAATAGTATTGTTTATTTGTTTCTGTGCATATTATCTATCTCTCCTTATTAAAGTATGAGTGCATGAGGCTCCATGGTTTGAGGTGGTCTCCCCAAACCCAGCTGCACTTGGCTGTACTAAGTAATCCCTAACATTTATTGAATGAACCTATTTAGAAAGACAGGTGTGGCCCCCAAATAGCTAAACTACATAAAAGTACTTACCTCTGAGCTTCTGAAGTAAATAATTTCAAAACCTTTTATCAAAGAATCTGCAAGAAAAAAAAAAAAAACTTATTGCAAAAGTTTTCAAATAAGGATGCATAGCTATTATCTTGAGGTACATATAATGTGCCATTTCTTGGTGGATCTACTTTTCTGTGGTAGCAAAGAAAATCACTGTGTTACCAACATCTAGAAGTTCTACCATCTAGAACCTTTCTACCATTCAGAAAGGTGAGTTTGAGCTTGGACCACTTCCAGCTGGAGTTGTTTGTATTATTTGCTCTCTGGACGTATAAATCATCTTTCTGGCTCTTCGGATCCACTGTACCCAGAAACTTCCTCCTTTCATATTTTCCTCTAGGGCATCTACACTTCATAGAGGGGAGGTGTTTTGATGGCCTGAAGCTTCTAAATATAAGGTGGGATCTGAGATCACATGAAATGCAAACGGAGAATTCTTTAGGGAAATTTCTCCTGGCTCCTTCGTTGGCTCCTATTTGTGTGAGGGCTCCTTGAATGTCTGAGTGGTGCTCCTGAGAGGTGTTAAGACGAAGAGTCTGTCTCCCAAGGGATACAGATTTAACAGAAGTTTGGCAGGGAGCAGACGAAAAGGATGGCAGGGAAAGTCTAGTCTTACTTGCCATTAAATCCCAGTGTTCTCCTGTCACAAGTAAGACATTTCTTGCAGAGCAAGACTTTCATCAAGCAAATACTTTAAAGAGGTCGAAAGGTAAATCCCTAAGAAGAATTGGAAGTACCAGCAAGGAGCCTGGCACACGAACTTCGTCAGCAGCGTTAGACTCGCCAAGTTTTCACCTCCAGAAGCCTCAAGGTTGAGGAGAGAGCAAAGAGGTAACCAGCAGCGCGCAGCTATGCGCCTGCGCGGGAGGGTTGCAGACCACAGCGCTTGCGCGTAGCTCCTTCCCGCGCATCCCTATGCACTTCCCCGGGTGCGCAGGCGCCGGGAGAGCTGGCCGGCGCGCGTTTTCCATAGGGAGCTACCTGGGCGAGCATGGCGGCGAGCGCGCTACGCGGCCTGGCAGTGGCCGGTGGAGGCGAGAGTAGCGAGAGTGAAGATGATGGATGGGAGATTGGATATCTCGACAGGACGTCTCAGGTAGCGGGGGAGGACTTGTCTTGACCACACCTGATTTCGGCCTTCCCAGCCCTCGAAGGCGAGGTCCAGCCTGGTGAAACCTCTTTACTTGCTCGCATGTATTTCCCTTTTTTCCCATTGGAAATATGGGTGTTTGGACTTAAGCAAATGCGCACAAATTTCCTATTGTTCCCCAGCTGTGGTTTCCACCAAATAGGTTTTTTAAGGTCATAGTAGCTCTTCACTTGGGTTTGGATCCATCATTACCTATTCCCTTGAAAGATAATTTTCGACACGAATTCTTTTCCAACTTTGTATCTTCATCAAAATAAAACCAAGAAAAAACTTAAATATTTAACCAAACATTGTTCCCTAATGTGGTGAAAACAAAAATATATATAACAAGAATTTTTTAACTGTTTTCTAGAAATTGAAAGGGCAAATGTTACCCATTGAAGAAAAGAAAGAAAAATTTAAGAAAGCATTGACCACCGGAGATGTTTCATTGGTCCAGGAGCTCCTAGATTCTGGTGAGAGATAAAGGACAGTTTCACCTCAACACAACTGTCCTAAGTTCACAAGGATTCCTTATTTTTAAAAGGTTTATGTTGCTTTTCTAATGGAAACACAACAAATATTAATATATCAGTTGTCCTATATAATCTTCGTTGACTCTGAATTCTCTCTGCCTTATTTTCTTCCTCTATCCTTATATTTGGAATGCCACTCTGATTATCTTCCATCAGCTCTTCCATCTCCTTCAAGAGGGCTACTCTAATCCTGGCCCACTCTGATCATTCTTTTCTCTTCATTTACTCCGCTATAATGCTGTATATTTCTTAAGAATTGTTTCTAGTCATGTACATTTTAGTTCTTTCTCACTACAGTTTTTTGTTTTGTACTAGTAGGATGAGGCTTGAGCTAAAAATCAGAATAAATATGTGGATAATTTCTTCCATCTTATTGTCTACTCTGGTTTCTTGGAAGAGTTATTTAAACTTTCAGAGCATCGGTTTCTTTTTGGGAGTGGGTGTGGGATGGAGTGTCACTTTATCATCCTGCTGGAGTGCAATGGTGCCATCTTGGCTCACGGCAGCCTCCACCTGGGGGCAGGAATTCAAGCGATTCTCCCACCACAGCCTCCCAAGTAGCTGGGGCTAAAGGTACATGTTACCAAGCCCAGCTAACGTTGGTAGTTGTAGTAGAGATGGGGGTTTCACCATGTTGGCCAGGCTGGTCTTGAACTGCTGACCTTAAGTGATCACCCACGTTGGCCTCCTAAAGTGCTGAGGTTACAAGCGTGAGCCACTGTGCCCAGCAAGAGAGCATCAGTTTCTTTATGTAAAGCATCATAATTCTGTCCTGAGCCTCATGATGTTTTTTTATGAATTAAATGAAAAAAAATTAAATTACCTTCACATAGAAATGTAAATTATTGATTATAATAATTGAAATTACTCAAAGGAGTAACAGACGTTTACTTTGGTGCAAAAGTAATTATGGTTTTTGCCATTGTAGATACAAAACATTGACACACAGTGTAGTTAGATGCGATTATATATAGCATAATGTTTTTCTTCTATGCTAGAATCAATGCATAGTTTAGTGAAAAGTGAATAATTTTGGAAACAAGACAGATCTGGGTTTGATTGCTAACCATGCCACTTGATGGCTTTGTAACCTTGACTAATTTACCAAATCTCCCTAAGCTTAATTTTCTACCCATTTTAAAGTGGGGATTATTGTATCAAAAGGTTGTTGGCAAGGGGGAGAATTAAAATACACTTTTAAAGGACTTCGAACACATAGGAATTATTTAAACATTAGCTGTTATTCTTTTAAGAAATGAGAAGGATCTGTATGGCTTTTTGGACAATGGAACTTGAGTTTGTAATTAAAGAATGAAATTGAATAAACTCTGAATAAGTGGAAAGAGGCCTGAATACCTAATACTAATATACGTATAGTGTACATAGCATGGAGTGGAATAGGCAGAGATTTGTTTTAGAAAACAAAATTTGCCTTGGGAGTAGTGGGACTAGGTACAGTGAAGGCGATAGAGGCTTTTGAAGGATTAAGACTTGATATAATTGATGGGCAAGTGTGAGTTTTTCAGTCTCTTGACCACAGCCTGCTGCTAAATAGGTATTCAGTCAACAATTCGAAATTCGTTTTTAATTACAAAATTTTTTAAAGTAGCCATAAAAAAGATATAAGTAGAATTAGAAAGATTTATTTACCATTGTCCCCATTCTCATTCCCCTTACTGCTGATGCCTCACTTTCACAGGTTAACTCCTGTTTTAGGGTATTTCCTTCCAGATGTCATTACATACTCTTTTTTAAAATATTTTTAATTTTTTGCCTTTCAAAGTCATTGTTGTTCTTTGAAACATGTTTCTGCACCAATTGAAAACTCTAAAAATAAAAGCACAATTTTGAGTCAGCCACTTTTAACCTTTTGAAGATCTCCAGTTTTTGTTATTCTGTGTACTACCATTTTAAGTTTTCTTTAAAGTATGACATATTTTAGACGTTCAGAAAGGTAAGGTATCCCCTCTGGAGACTGCGACTTTTCTATAGCTGATATTTATCATTGAGTATCTTTTTACTTTTACTGTATATGTCTCTATCGCTAAACAATATAGTATTATTTTGAATGTTTTTGAGCTCTATAAATATACTGTGTCCATCCTTTTAAACTTAACCTTTTTTTTTTTTTTTGCACTAAGCCTGGAACATAATATATGTTTAGTAATTTATGTTAAATATTAGAGGTTAAATATTGTTAGAATTTTAGTAAGGATTTTTATACTAAAATGCCACATTTCCTTCTCTTTTTCTTCACATCTTTTTCTATCTTTGCTATCACAGTATGAGCAGTATTCTCAATAAAATAAGAAAAGAATGATTTTTTTTTCTCTGATCTCATTGATATGCTTTCAATGGAAGCAGTTTAAAGAGGAAAATTTGTGAGAGAAGACAAGTTGGGTTAGCAGTATATGTATATACTAAGATGGTTTAATGCTTTCTCCCAGTGATTATTATGTACCTTACATCAATTAGACGATTAGCAATTAGACATATGTAGTCTTTTAGTGACCCAGTGTTTATACAGCCAAAAAAGTGACACCCCCCCACTACCAAGTTTGCATTTCTTCTGTGATGTGACCTTAATCTGTACAAGTGGGACATTTTATAGCCAGAGACTATAGAACCTATAAATTACAAGGTATTAAAGGCAGGCCTGTGTTCAGTGGTGTTTCACATACAAGTTTTCCTGTTTGAAACAGAAAAATTTTGTTACCTTTCTTGGGATTACCAGATATATCTTAAATTTAAGAGAAAGATTGCTACTTAAGTCTTGATCCCTTGGCCAGGAGCAGTGGCTCACACCTGTAATCCTAGCATTTTGGGAGGCTAGGGTGGGAGGATTGCTTGAGGCCAAGGGTTTGAGAACAGTTTTGGCAGCATAGTGAGACTCTACCACTAAAAAAAAAAAAAAAAAAAAAAAAAAAAAAAAATTAGCCCAGCACAGTGACATGTGCCTATAGTTGGAGCTAGTTGGGAGGTTGAGTATTCTATAAGCCATAATCACACCTGTGCTCCAGCCTGGGTGACAGAGAATGAGATCCCATCTCTAAAAAAACAAAAAGCAAAAAACTTATTTTCAATATCTGATAATCTCCCTTTATTTTAGCTCACTGTTTGTCGTTTGTTTGTCCAAGATAGAACTTGATGGTCATTTAAAATTTTTCTTTTCCATCACGCTTCCTCCTCAAAGTAATTTTAAATTCTGACCCTGCCTTTGAAATGTGCGTTTGTTTTCTTTCCTTTCTCTCTCCACTGCCCTTGCTCTGATTTTTGTATAAACTCCCTGCCTAAAAACTAGGTTTTTTTGCCTCCTGTCCCATTCTCAACAGTGGTATCTATGTTGTCTTTATAATACATATGTAATGATATCAAGTCCTGGATCACAAAATAAAGTCTACATTTCTTAACAGAGCTTTCATAATATAACCCTAATCTATCTTTTTAGCTTCATGTTTGGTTAGTCACCCATGGGTAAGTTCAGTATTAGGAATAAAGTTAAAGGTATTTGAGGGATATACGTGGTATTTTCAACCATAGAGATAATTGATATTGCCTAGGGATAATATTCTAATTTGAAAGACATTTTACCTCTGTGAAACCCTTTTTAGCTCCCCTAGAGAAAAAAAGGTAGCATGTAAAAACTTGTTATAATATACATACTCAATTACATATTATATGATAAAACATCAGTCAAATCTGTCTCTTGGAATATAGTGCCTGTAGTGAAACTGAAGTTAGCAAATTGTATTAAAGTCTTGATAAAACTATTTTCTATTTTTTGGAAGCCATTTTTACCAAAAAATTCCCATGGTAGAATAAAGTACATGATGTATATGTCACTTTACACGGTACTTTAAGCATATAAGGTGATTGATTTTTTTCTTTGGTGGTAGTGGGCTTTTAAAAGCTTGTTTTTATATTGACAGGTATTATTAGTGTAGACGCTACCTTTCGGTATGGATGGACTCCCCTTATGTATGCTGCCAGCGTTGCCAATGCAGAACTGGTTCGGGTCCTTTTGGACAGAGGTGCTAATGCAAGCTTTGAGAAGGGTAAGATGTTTGAGGTAACTTAAATGATTATGCTTACTGTGATTCTTTGATTTCCAACTAGCTGTTATATAAAGTGGGAAAAAATTAAAGTGGTTTGAAGTAACCTTTCTATTCATTATATTATGTAAATAATACACAAAATCAAATTAGAAACCATACATATTCTGAAAAACTCTCTTTCCAAAAAGATAAATTCCAGTTATAGTATCTTTATAACTGGTTGTTATTATATACCTTTAACTTTAAGGTTCTGGTTGTTTTTAAAGGAAAAATTCCTTGAAATAAACATTAAAAAGCTTGTAATTTAGTGACAAATTACTTGGAAATCAGTCTGTGTAATTTTAAACTATGAATTATATTGCTTAAAGTTGTTTCAAAGATGCTTAATGAAATCCATCTTTGTCCTTGTTACTAAGCAATTTCCATTAAGTAGTGCTTTGAGTGTAAGAAGAACAAGAGTATATGAGCAAATCCAGTTTAATTATTACATTGAATTCCCAATTACTTATTTTTAACATACTTTCAATATACAATTAAATTTGCTTCATAATTTCAGGTATAGGTTTCATTTTATAATTGATTTTTAATTTAATTTTATACCTACAATTTTATTCTTTTTTGTCATTTATATATTTTACATCAATTTCTGCCTTAGCCACAGTTTTATGTTTAATCTTCTCTGTTTTTTCTTTTTATTATATCATTTAAAAATATCACTTGGCCAGGTATGGTGGCTCATGCTTATAATCCTGGCACTAATACTTTGGGAGTCTAAAGCAGGAGGATCACTTGAGCCCAGGAGCTCAAGATCAGCCTGGACAACATAGTGAGACTTTGTCTGTACTAAAAATAAAAAATATTAGCCGGGGGTGGTGGCATACACTTATAGTCTCAGGAGGCTGAGGCAGGAGGACTGCTTGAACTCAGGAGTTCGAGGTTACAGTAAGTTATGATTATGCCAACACACTCCAGCCTGGACAACAGAGAATTACTCAGTGAAAGCTATGCTTAGGAATCAGGTTTTCAAAAGTATATAAAATATTCTGCTCAAAAATTAATAATTATTTGTTTTCTATTTCTCTCTTCTTGTAATCAGAGGGATTCTTGGAGTCATAAAATATATTTTTCACAGAATGTACACATAAGTTATTTTATGTGTCCCACTATAGCTCTATCACATACAAAGGGCACATATTAGGTTCCTATCTGTAAATTAAATCTAATGAGTTCTTAAGACATCACTGGAGTGACAGTTTCTCAGTGGCAAGACTGGGACTAGAATATGCTCTGTCAGTATTGAGCCACTAATGTGAATCATAGCTGTGGTGACCTATTTGAAGTCTTAATTCAAAACAGGTGTTTTTTGTTTTTAATTTACTCTGATCTTTGCTGACATTATGAGAGCCAAGGCAAGAAGAGTTTTAGGAAACAGTGGGTTCAGAAAGATCCAATACAAAAGGACAAGAGAAACCAAACCAATGTATGTGGCAGTTACAGCAATTTCAATAGGGTAGTTTACAAGCCAGATTGCAAGAGTTTTCAAATGGGTAAGAAGTGAAATCAGAGAAAATGGATCACTGTTTCCCAGACAGGAGTTTAGCAAGACAAATTTTAATGAAACACTCTTCAAATCCAGATTATGTGGCTATGTTCATGTGCTTAACTACTTTCTGTTCTCTTGAAGAAATGGGAATAAGAGGGGAAGGAAATTAAGTGAATTATAGATAAACGTTGGAGACTAAAGGGATTCATGTCTAATCTCATCTTTCCATGAAGGAAGACAAAGTTATCTGCCAAGAGTGAGAGATTTGGGAAGACGTTATAGAGTTTTAGAGTGCAATAATAGATTGTTTTGAGTGGTAAATACATCAAATAGATGCAATTCTTGATGTATAGGGGTTTTTCTTCCATTTTCTATTCACTATAGATAAGCAAACTATCTTGATAACTGCATGTTCTGCTCATGGCTCAGAGGAACAGATCTTGAAATGTGTAGAGCTACTACTTTCAAGAAATGCTGATCCAAATGTTGCTTGTAGGTAAGAGCCTTTATATCTGTTCAAAATTCAAGTTGAATAAGAATTTTTCTTTGGTATCAGCCTGTTAAAAATCATGAACAATGTTTACTTGGTCAACTAGTTGATGAATGAAAATAGTTCATAAGTTCATGGTTCCGATTCTGTAAGATTATTAAAGGAAGAGGATATCATGAAGGTAGTCTTTCAGAGAATGCCATAAGAATTTAGAATGAGAAAAAGAAGGACAATAAACTATAGTATCATTTCTTGTGATTTATACTACTTAAATGAATACAGTTGACCTATAAGAGTTAAGCCTCTTAATGTTGTCTCTGTATAACATTTAACAACTAAATAATTTTATAAAAATACTAAGAAAATACGTTGATTTTCTGTTTTCCTATTTGTTTCCATTTTAAGACTTCACCAATTAACTAGGTAATAACATGTGTGTAATAGTGCCTAGATACATAGAAGACAAGCAGTAAATGTATCTTGCATATTTTGAAATGTCAGTAATAATAAAAATTAGATTGCTTAAAATTTCTATCACATTGGCTTCCTTTCTGACTCTATCTTCTATTTCATCTTCCTATTAAATCTCTCTTTATGTTTCACTTAATCTTTATAATGAATAGAGTAGGAAGTAGCTCATCTAACAAAAATGTCTAGCACAAGTAGAATTATTATTTATAATTTATTAGATAATAATGATCTAGTACCTGACATATAGATATAATTATGTTTGACGCGAGAAGTTTTTTTCTAAATTAGTTTAGTTTCTATGATACCTGGACAGCAGCCTTGGAAGGTACTTTACAGCTTTAGATAATTCCTAAATCTTTGTTGAAATTAAAAAAAAATATTTTGATTTAGTTGTAGTGGTTCTCAAGGAAGGTCTATTTGGCCTTTCAGGGGACATTTGGCAACGCCTAGAGACATTTTTGATTGTTATACCTGAGAGATACTACTGGTACCTAGTGGATAGAAACCAGAGATGCTGCTGAACATCCCAAAATGCATAGGACAACCCCTCAAAACAAAGAATTACAAATCCTAAAATGTCAGTAGTACCACGATTGAGAATCCCTGATGTAGTGTGAGAAGGGCCAAGATTTATTGAGTGGATAATTCATGTTTAAACAAAGATAAAAAAGAACTGGCAGAAAAAACTACATATAAACCTTTAATTTTTTTTTTTTTTTTTTTTAAGACAGATTCTCGCCTGTTACCCAGGCTGGAGTGCAGTGGCACCATCGTGGCTCACTGTAACCTCTGCCTCACAGGTGATTCTTCCCCCTCAGCCTCCAGAGTAGCTGGGACTACAGGCACACACTACCACACATGGCTAATTTTTAATATTTTTTGTAGAGATGGGGTTTCACCATGTTGCCCAGGCTGGTCTCAAGCTCCTGGGCTCAAACAATCTGCCTGCCTTGGCCTTCCAAAGTGCTGGGATTAGAAGTGTTAGCCACCATGACTGGCCTACCTGCGAACTCTTCTTTTTTTTTTTTTTGAGGTGGAGTCTCACTCTGTTGCCCAGGCTGGAGTACAGTGGTGTGATCTCAACTCATTGCAACCTTTGCCTCCCAGGTTCAAGTGATTCTCCTGCCTTAGCCTCCTGAGTAACTGGGATTACAGGCACGTGGCACCACACTCAGCTAATTGCTGTATTTTTAGTAGAGACAGGGTTTCATCATGTTGGTCAGGCCAGTCTTGAACTCCTAACCTTGTGATCCACCCATCTCAGCCTCCCAAAGTGCTGGGATTATAGGCGTAAGCCACCTTGCCCGGCCTCAAACTTTTAACAGAAACTTTTATCCTGTCATATATAGTATAACCCTTAATAAAATGTAACTTTTGGATCTGGTTATACCTTGGACATGTGCTTTAGGATTTCTCACTGAAGTAAACTTCCATGAGTGTTGTAATTTTTATATATACCTTTAGAAATGGTGTAAGATAAAACTTTTGCTTGGTGCTCTTCACATTTTTTTTTCTGACTGCCTCTGAGATTTTACAGGTAGTGAAGTCTTTACCCTCCTAATCACTTAAAGTCCTGTAAACACACTGAAGAAGAAGTCAGTCAAGCCAATGTCCCAGGTTCTAGACTATTCTGTCTCCTCAAGAACTAAAAGATATCCATTAGGTACATAAGATGTTTTGGGAAAAACAGATTCCATTTGAGTTAAAATGATACAAGATTAGCATCTTATGCTAAAAACGATAAGGCAACCACACTATAAGGCAATTTCAAAACTGAAAATCCTAGATAAGCAGATGAATTAGAAGGAGCACAAGATTTAGATTGGTATGTGATCAACTCTCTAAAATAGAGAATTTATAGAATGGTTGAAGAAAATAAAGCAATCTGCATTTAATTAAAGATGTGAGAAATAACCTGAAAAACTATTCACCTGCTTCTTTTTTAATGGTCAAAGCATAAAGCAATAACACTGAATTGTGTTTTCTTGATAGAGCTGAAAAGAGGATCAGTTATGGCAAATAGTGCTTTTGAGGCTGCAAATTTTATAAGAAGGATAGCATTAGTGGACATACAGGGATAGCATGCTATCAATGTAAAAGAGAAAACATATCAGGACACAAGGGGAGTGCAATGAAATTTGGAGAGAATTTTATAGCTAACTCATTAGCAGTGACAACACTCAAAACCTATTAGAAGACTGGGAGTTTTGGATTCTTGTAAAAAGTGCCAGAAGGTACCAGCAATATATCTGGGAACCACTCGTCAGATGTCAAGGGGAGAAACGTATCTTTGGATGAATTTACTTTTAAGCTGTTGACATAGCCCCTTCTACTGAGAAATGCCTTTGCTGAGAAAACTTACCTCTCAAGAAAAAAAGCACGATTTGAGTCAGCTACAAAACATAAATGGCTAGATTTTGCGAAAGCTAGGTAGATAGTCACATACTTGATAGTTGCAAATAAAGTTGACTTCTAACATTTTTTTTTTAACTAATATGGATCAGTAGTCTTATGAAGTGAAAGTAATAGCAAAGTCTTAGAGATCAACCTTTAAGCTTGAGATTGAAGTTTCAGTTTTCATATGTACAGCAGTGTGGAAACTCTTCTCCATTTTATGGAATACCTCAAAAGACAGGATTTTCGTTTGTAGATAAAATAGGGAAAAAATTAGTTACTGACTTGTATTAGGAGCAGAAAGATAATTTCAAGGGGTTTATAGATCTTAAAGTGAGTCACTTGAATTATTTGGTTGTGTTTGCACTAAAAATGGGTAGATAGAAGAATAAAAATTAAGAAGCTGTTGAATTTCCTCTACTTAACTAATTAGAAGTCTTGCTCAATGGTACTGAGAAAATTCTGTAATAGTTTAAATTTTTTAACTTGTGTATAATTTATATACACATAATTAAAATATTCAGATTTTCAGTGTACAGTTGGAACAGTTTTGATAAGTGCATTCATTTGTGTAACTCACACCCCAAGATAGGATATTTCTATCACTCCAGAAAGTTCCACTGTGTCCCTGGACAGTCACGTTCCCTCCCCACCAGAAGCAACCATGTGATCCAGATCTCATTTCTACCACTGTAAATTTTTTCTGTTCTAGAATTATACAGTATTTTTCTGATTTATTTAACTGGGTATAATAAACTTTAAGACTCATCCATCCTCTGTGTGTTAGTAGTTTGCTACTTTCTCTATGGCCTGAGAAAAACAGGTGTCCCAGTAAGGCAGAAAATCGATTGGCTTAGAAATTAAAGAAAAGACAAAAAAAGTCATAATAAGACTTGAGTAAGCAGATTCTTTAAGTATTTAGGCCGTATGCTAAGGCAGCATGAGTGCTGACCATATAGTACGTTTTTCTAAGTCCCTAAACAGAGACAAACGTCTTGCATCAATGCTTCAAGTAGCAAGCACTGACTATCCACTCCTTTATTTTATTTTATTTTATTTATTTTTTTGAGAAGGGAGCCCACTCTGTCACTCAGGCTGGAGTGCAGTGGTAAATCTCAGCTCACTGCAACCTCCACCTCCCAGGTTCAAGTGATTCTTGCCTCAGCCTCCCAAGTAGCTGGGCCTACAGGTGCGTCACCACTCCTGGCTAATTTTGGTATTTTTAGTATATATGGGGTTTCACCGTGTTGGCCAGGCTGATCTTGAACTTCTAACCTTAAGTGATGTGCCTGCCTTGGCCTCCCAAAGTGTTGGGATTACAGGTGTGAGTCACTGCACCTGGCCCACTTCTTTCTTTTACCTACTGAATTGCTTATTGGGAATCATGTTTGGTGTATATTGTGGTTGTTTCCATTTGTTTTGCTTTAGCAATCCATTTGTGTATGTGTATTGAACATTAATATCACTAAGTACCTTTACTTTTTTGTTTTCTTTCTTTTTTTCAGTTTTTATTCTTTCATTTTTTTCAGTTTTCTTTCAAAGTTCTCCTTTATGTGCAGGGGATACATTCTGAGACCCCCTAGTGTAAGCCTGGAAACATGGATAGTACCAAATCTATAAATACCTTTCTTTTTTCCCCATGCATACATATATGTGATAATTTATAAATTAGGCATAGTAAGAGATTAACAATAACTAATAATAAAATAGGACAATTAAAACAATATACTGTAATAAAAGTTATGTGAATGTGGTTTCTCTCAAAATATCTTACTGTACTTTACTCACCTTTCTTGGTGGTCTATCAATCTGATAATGGGGTGCGTAGTATATATAGCGTGGATATGCCGGACGAAAAACAATTCATGTTCCAAGTGGAGCAGTTCAAAATCTCATCACGCTATTCAGGACAGGGTGCAATTCAAAACTTAGGAATCTTTTATTTAATATTTTTGGACCATAGGTAACTGTGGAAAGCAAACGACAGATTAAGTGGTTTATTTTTGAGTCAGAGTCTCACTCTGTTGCCCAGGTTGGAGTGCAGTGGCACAACTTTGGCTCACTGCAACCTCCGCCTCCTGGGTTCAAGCGATTGTCCTGCCTCATCCTCCCGAGTAGCTGGGATTACAAACGCCTGTCAT